GTAAACTTGAGTATGTCCTCCTTAAACTCATTCTGGACCCATGTTCTATAATTAGAGCTTGGATTCAGGAATGTAACATATTCATTCAAGAGCATAAAGGTATCCTCCAGATTAATTACATACAGAACAGCTTAGGGTTTGTCCCACTAAAACTCATGAAAAGCACTAATCCAGTAAAGTACACCACAAATTTTAATGAATGAGAGCAGTGCACCACACAGGTTGCTAGCACTCCTGAAGATCTGCTTATGGAACTGTTGCAAATGTTTTAAAGAAGGAGAAAGAAGTAGTATGCACTCAATCTGGCAATAAATGAATCCCTTTTCCCTCCCTTAATTTGTCACATCCTTTCCTTCAGAAACATTTCATACTAAAATAACAATCTCTGTGTAGATTCCAGTTTACTAGATTTTCCAGTCTACTGCTCAAATCCAGTTTAAAAACACCATTCCAAACACCATTTCAATTTCATAACTAATTTCATAATTGTAATATTGGATCAAGCTTCAGAAAGAATCAGCATGACCCATGAAAAAGATGACAATGCTGTACTTCAACATGCTTTAACAAGACACAAGTCTATTGCTTCCATACAACACAGGCTGTTGTTCCAAAGTGGAAAATCAAGTCTGACCAAATGCCCAGTTACAAACACTTCACCACTCTCTTGGGAGGATCCCAATACTAGCAGAAAGCAAACAATGAGGCAGAAAGGACTATATATTTCTTTCCTGTAGCTATCCTTCTCCTCATCACCTACATACAGACTTACTGCCTAGTAAAATATAGTATTGTTCCAGTAAATTCCCAACACAGAAGTGCAAACACTTACAGTAGCTGAGCTAGAACTGAAACTAATGGAGCTCTTTAACTCTGCAGCAGATAAAGCTATTCCTTCAAACACAGGCTGCAGAGGAAATGAAACAAGCCCACTTTGAAACTGTATCACCTAAATGGCATGCTGAAGTACAAATGTGACCCAGATTTAACCCTCTATTTGACTCACATAGAAACCAGCGCTGAAATCTGATATAAGACTCAAATACCCATACTCCATCTCTCGCAACTCTTACACTGCCACTAAAAAACTCTTCAATATAACCTACTGAGACCAGCAAATAAAGGCCAGAACTAGGCAGTCACTGCTGAGATGGCTTTAGCAGTGTTAGACAGGATCTTTCACTGTCACAGAAACTTTCAGAGGTGCAAGATATTATATATTGTATTACTTTTGCTAACCTTATTAAAAACCAAACGAAGCATCAAGAACAAAATCCATTTGCCAAATGCAAGTGTAACTTCCTTTTGCTCCATAAAAGCTTCATTATGTATTTATTGATATATGAAAAAAGACATTCAATTGTATCTCTTACAGTACAAAAATGGAAGCAGGAAGCGTTTACAGTAGATTAAGAAAGTTTGGAGGATCTCATCTACAGAAACCACTCAAGTTTTTCCAGAAATAAAATGCTCCTTATGAGTCAGATATGATAAAAAATATACCTCCCTAAAATTTGCTGTAACTATTTTATGCTCTTAAGCTATTAAAAAAAAAAAAAAAAAAAAAAGCTAATGACAACTGGACAAAAAGAAGCATTAGAGTAGATCCACTTAACAAAACTGTAATTGTGTGACTTACAGACCCAGTGAATATGCACCAGTCAATGGAGAAAAACACTAGGCAAATAACTATGAAAGACACTTCCAAAGAGGTGCTTCTCTGGGAGCTTCCCCAGGGGATTGTAAAAGATCTCCCCCTGCTTTAAGATACTACTATAAAGAAAACAAAGCTGTCTGAAACCTTTATGGAAAATTTTAATTCTGACAGTGAAGGTATCAGCTCTGCTTTCCTCTTTTATAACCGCTCATTGTACTTGCAAAAACTGGTAAAATACGAGCACAGCAAGAATACTTTAAAATCAATCTTTACCTTAGTTTTTTTTCCTCTCTAAAGATCAGTTAAATATGCATGCATGTGTGCAAACAGAGCTAAGATTACTCCCTGACTCAGAGAAAGAATTGAAAAGGTTCTATTCTAACAAACATACTTACACCAAAAAGAAATCAAATGAAGGAAAAACTCTGCTAGTTGTTACAGAAGCAAAAACAAGGAATGACATTCTAAATCAGTGGAACTTGTTGCAAAAGCCTTGCTTAGTTCAACAAAAGCAGGAACAAATTCAATAGGAAAAAGAGAAATTTAAGTTCTCTAACACATTTTAATTTTAGCCTGAAGGTAAGGCCTGACCTTCCTATCAGTGCCACTGCAGTGACAATTAAAACCAACAAGTTCTTCTTACCCTAGTTTTGTTCATCTCCTCTTCCTCAGGGTATCATCTGTGATTACTATTGGCAGGCCAATGTCCTACATTATCCTATACAACAGGATGCAGTGCTTATTCATTCATGTCTGCTCTTGTCTCAGCTGCCCATTTTTCCCACACTGATATTTAAGAGTCTCACCACTTTCAGCTGAACAGCATAAAAATATTCTTCTACTGATCTTCAAAAACCACGTGCAAAGATAGCTGCACATCCTTGAACTGCTCATGTGTTTTTGTCTATACAATGCTACCTCTTTTCTAGATTTAAAAAAGCTCCAAAACAGTCACACCAGCCCAGATGTCCAGTTCAACAGAAGTTATTACAGGCTAATGAGTCAATGACCCATTCAGTTACATCAGGTAAACAACAAACATAAGACACAGTATCAAACTAAACACAAAATCTGCCATTTCTGCGTAGATTATAGATTATGTGACAAACTGCAGTTCCACAATATTACATGCTTGTGCTTACATATGCACAAAGTAAGAACAAGGTACATCCTTCACACTTTCAGAGCCAGAAGTTAAAGTGCTGAGATGAAAATGAAAGCCATTCCTAGCTTTGGATTAGATCTGTTCCAGCTCCTCATACACATCTATACCAATCAACACTGCAATTCAGCAGAGGTGGAAGGAAGCTTTGCCTGACAGAGCACTGGCAGGGGTTATTGAGCTTCTGAGCAAAAGCACCAAGTTGTTACTGTCACAATCAACTTGGTTGAACTGCACAACAAGAAATCAACCTAACTTTTTGCATCTTTAGGACAAATGTAATACTGCTGCTCAAAGTATGGCTATTTTCTCAGAGCTTACTGGCAGTAAAAATAAAGTTTTGGGTTTTTTTATGCATAACATTTCCTTCCCAAACCTCACTCTGTTCTCTTTTCCAGGTCTCCAATATACTGAGTGAGGATATAATTCTTCTCTGTAGATTCCCATGACATTTTGGCAGAAATTACAGCTGTGGCAAGCTTTGGATTGGATGCTTTGTTTACTGAAGTGCTTAGCTTTGCAACTGGCTGCTGTTGAAAATTAAATAAACAAGCAGTATTTCTTTCATAAAGTAACAAGTGACCTGAGGGAAGCCTCCCTGGGTGGGAATGGAAAAAGAGGCCCAATTTTGAAGTAGTACAAGTTTCCATGTGTTAAGAACTTTGGGACATGCTGGCAATTTTATTTCTTTTACTAATCTCCAATCCTTCCCATTTATTCTCTCTAAAAATCTAAAGGTTTGTTTTCCTTTGGGTTACTGCAACACATCCAGAATTCCCCTTGACACTCTGCTCCAACCTGCAGTGTTTCAAATGACACTAGGTATAAGACTTATATTAACATTTGATAATAATTTATTAATTGTCAGTCCCATGCCTAGAACTCAACAGCCTTATGGAAAGGAAAAGCCTGGCTGCTAAGAGATCCCATTACTTTAATCCCTTGCTCCAACACAGAATCATAGAATGTTAAGGGTTGGAAGGCACCCTAAAGATCATCTAGCTGCAATCTCCCTGCCATGGACTGGGACACTTCCCAGTAGACCAGACTGCTCAAGGCCTTATCCAACCTAGCCTTGAATGCTACCTGGGTTGGGACATCCACAATCTCCTGGGGAAACCAGTTCTGGCTCCTCACCACCCTAACAGTAAAGAATTTCTTCCTAATGCCTAACCTAAATTTCCCATCTTTCAATTTGTACCCATTACTCCTCGAGATATCACTACAACATAAACATGGAAAAGATAAACTTGCACCTTCACACTACATAGGCCACCAGCTTCTAGCCCAGCAACTATAACTTAAACACTTTTCTTTCAAACTTCCTGCTGATGCCCATGTTTTTCCACGGGCAATAGTGGAGCCTAATGCAGTGCTGGACATCAGTGAGTTCATTCATTCCACAGTGAGGAGTGGATCATTTTTTGAAACCTTTGGACATTATAAAGACCATCTACAATGGCAGTACACATCTCTTTTCAGGGGCTGATGGATAGTCAGTCCTGTGACTGTCCCCAACAGCTGCGGTGGGCTCACAGCTCACCAAACCAGCCACTGCAGCAGAACAGCTGATCTCCAAGAGCCAAGGAATGCGGCACAGCCTCGAAGCATGGACAGGCTGGGGAAGGACGGCGGGAAGCCACCCGGGATGGCGGCGCTAGAGCCAAGCTGGGGTGGAGGAACCGCCAGCTCCCGCCCGGGACTCGGTCCCACGTGAGGGGGCCTAGGCACATCTCGGTCCCTTCTCGGTGTGACCAGGCGGGGAGGGACGGAGTCACCGCAAGGCAAACTAGACCCGCTCTAGTGCCCAGGGCCTGAGGCGAGGGCAGCGGGGGCTGCCTGCGGCTCTCCGGGGCCTGGGGACCGGCAGGAGCCGGCGGGGCGCGGTCGGAAGCCGAGCGGCGCCGGGCTCGTTACCTCTCCATGGCCCGCACCGCGTAGCTGACGAGCGGCCTCCCCTGCACGGCGCAGAACTGCTTGGGGGTGGCACCGCCCAGGCGCTCCCCGCTCCCGCCCGCCGGCAGCACGGCCGACACCAACACGCCGCCGGGCGCGGCGCCGCGGCCGTGGGGCTCCATCTGCGCCGGGCCCGGCGGCGGCTCCGCTCCGCGCCCCCCGCGGCACGAACAGCGCAACCGCCCGCCCGCCTGTTTTATTCGCCCACGACGTCCGCGATCCAAAGAATCCAGCGCCCGCCCGCTCGCCTGCCCCCGGCGCACACCGGGCCCTACCGCTCGCCCCCCCCCGTGCTACGCGAGCCCCCGCAGGAGCTCCCCCGGGCCCCGGCAGCCCCGCGGGAACGCCCGGACCGCGGCGAGGGAGCGGCCGGGGCAGCGCGGCAGGGCCGAGGTGGGCACACAGAGCCGCTGCCCGGGCACGGCCGCCATGGGCCCTTTAAGTGCCGGGCGCGCGGGTGGCTCGGGGCGGGGCCGGCTGAGGGGCGGGGGAGCCGCGTCTCGCCTGGTCCCGGCGGGAGCAGGGTCGGGGGGCCTGTGTTAGTGGGGAGATAAACACAGGGAAAAGCAGACGGAACCCTCGGCCCTGCGTGTTCGCGAGAGCCCAAGAGGCTGGCTGGGTCTCAAGTCATCGAGTCCAGTCGTTAACCCAGCGTGGCCGTATTCACTGTTTAACTGCATTTCCCAAGTATTACATCCACGCGCCTTTGGAGCACTTCCAGGGATCCGGACTCTGCTACTTCCCTGGGCATCCCGTTTTAACGTCAGCCCTTTCAGTGAAGAATTTTTTCTCAATATCCAACATAAACCACCCCTGGTGCAACTTGAGGCAGTTTCCTTTTCTGTCCCTTGCTACCCGGGAGAAGAGGCCGATTCCCACCTGAGTCCGGCCTCCTTTCAAGGCAGTGTAGAGTGATGGATGGGGTCTCCCTTGAGCCTCCTCTTCTCCAGGCTAAGCAGCCCCAGCTCTCTCAGCCACTCCTCGCAGGACTTGTGCTCCAGACCCTTCCCCAGCCTCTTCGCCCTTCTCCGGACTCACTCCAGCACCTCAATGTGTTTTTTGAAGTGAAGGTCCAAAACTGGACACAGCACTCTAGGTGTGGCCTAACCATTGTCAAGAATAGCAAGACTACCACACACTATTTCTGATACAAGCCAACATGCCATTGGCCTTCTTGGCTGCCTGGCTCATGTTCAGCCACTATCAACCAGCACCTGCAGGCAAAACTCAGTGGTAGTCAACTCACTGTTAGGATCTGGGGTGTTCCAGCTTGTCTCGTGGTGTTACTGTAAGCAGCGATGGCTGAGACATGTTTGGAAAATTCCCAGGGCTGATATTCATTAAATGGCAGAGGAGGCACAGCCTGGTGATCGCCTTAGTGAGGTGACAGGTGCCAGGCAAGCCAGGAAGCTGAGCCAGGGGGTGTGGGTCAAGGTCAGGGAGGCATCAGAGCAGCTGCAGACATAGGAGGCCAACAGTAAAGACTGCTTAAAAGCAGCTCCCAAAGCACAACAAGGAAAGGAGGGTTGAGAAGAGGGTTGCTTCTAGCTTTTTCATTACAGCTCTTACTAGTGGAAGGACTGTGTTTGTACTTGACAAGTTGGACTCCTTAACTCAGTCATCCAGGCTTGAAGGCGGGGATACTCAGGGCCCTGGCCCTTGCCTCTTTGACATTATTTTTAGGAAAATTTCAATGTCTTACATGCACCAAATAAGCAAAATCTTTAGAGTCTGCAAAATTTCTTTATATCTTTGAGAAGATAGGTTATTTACAGCTTTTCAGGGTTCTCTTAGTTGTGTTAAGAGGAACCTAAGAAAATCACATACAGAGACCTTTCTGAGGAGTAAGCATGAAAGTTTATGTGCCAGCTGGGCTGCTTTGCAATGCCAACAGTGGACTGGAGTAAAATGATCATATGGGCTTGCAGAGGCATCAAAAGTAGGAGCCATACAATAGGAGTGCAGTGATCCCTCCTAGCAAAGGCAGGACTCCACAGGTATTCTTGATACTTGTCATAGCAGGAAAGTCATGCACAGCACAGGCACTTTGCATGCTGAGGTGTCAAGCTTTTGGAGTGGAGACTTTTCACCAGTGAAGGAATTAGCTAGAAATTGAACTGCCTTCCTCCCAATGAGTGCTGGTCTCATTGTCTTCAGGACAGTTTAGCATGTGGGATTTTTTTTAAATCCATTGCTTCAGCAACTATGTTCTTTTTTAGCAGGTCTTTTGTTTTCTTTTCTTGGAAAGCATTTCACTACCTGACTGATGACATATATTTGTCTGTTGTCTCTTGATGACATATATTTGTTGTCTCTTTTACGGCTTCCAAGTTTGCACCATGAGTCAGCATCACTTCATTGTTATTAGATGCCCAAAATTAATTTTTCTTCTTAAGCTTGGCACCTCTCCATATCCACGATGATCTTAAATTCTGATTTTTTTTTTTTGCAGCAGTTCTATACAAATGTGTTCATGGAAGCTTATTCTGCAGCATTCCCATTTTTCCAATTTTTTTTGGTGTAACATATTCTGAATTCTTGCCTCAGGTCTTCATGCATTCATTCATAAAAACCACACCTCTTGTTTGACTTTCTGTAAGGAACAAAATAAGTTCTTTTTAGTTCCATGGCTTTTCCCCTTCCTTCTTGACACTGTGGTTTTGTATGTCATCACCTATACCCACAATCTGTTGTGCCCAGTACCTTATTTCTTGTCCAGCCAATGTTTCCCCACTTCATCTCATTCATTAATATTAATTTCTGTGAAGGAACATGTGCCAATTTGATTGTGTTCTTGCTCTGAAGTCCATTTCCCTTACTATGCTAGGGGTATTACGCTTGATCAATCCAGAATAAATTATATTTGATGGGTGGACTTTAGTGCATGCAGACTTCAGTGTCATCAAATCTGTTGTATATCGTGGTGAGATTTTACAATCCAGCCAAAAAGCACTTTGAAGCTGCTTTTGGCTGCACTTGAACATGAAATGTTTCTGAAGTTCTCATGCTTTCCACAGTCCCTGTGGAGTCAAAAGGTTCTTGACTTGTGTTGATAGCCCCTGGTAATTTCTCCAGAAGCCCATCAGATTCCTGGCATCTTGATTATACTGAACTTGCTACTGCTATTTCTCCTCTTTTTTTCTGTTTTCTTAGACAATGATGTGGAAGGAAGAGCATATTTAACATTCTTATATATTTATATTATGTTTTACCATGAATTAAGAAAACCGGGATTTGGGGGTTTACATTTTTTTAATATTCATTTGTTATTAACATGCAGTGAAGCACTTTGTGAATGCAGCAACACTTTGTGCATACATAATTTATCTTCAGTTCCATTCTATTATACATTTTGTATTTAATCAATGTAATATTTTAGTTGCTGTGCATATATATGCATGCTCATACATAAACATTGGAAGTGGGTAAAATGTAAATTCACACATATTGGAAGAACAATTTTGCACAGTTTTTTTCTGGATAAAAAGGGATAGAGGCAGCATTTACCTCAAAGCAAGTAAAGAGCAGGCTAATCAATCATTTCTGTGCAGGGGTATAACATCTGAAACCATAGTTGTAGTTTGCAATTATGCAGTAAATATGCCAATCATATCTTTGAAAAGAAAAGTGGGCTTTTTTCCTTTTTTTTTTATTGGAGAAAGAAGGTATGTACAAATTGGAATCAAATTACAATAGTGAAATGCACCTGACAATTTGACTTCTGGGAGAAAAAATCATCTGTTTCTATGACTGAAACTCATAATAGGGTTTTTAGAGAACATTAAGTTATGGGAGTGGTAGATATCATTCCGAAAGGCTTTTGTGGAAAAAATAGTGAAAGAATAAAATTTCTTGATTTGAAATTGCCCTTGAGTCTTCTGTAGATGGGGTATAGCTGAGAAATTGTCCTTTTTTCAAAACTCTTGAACCATTTTATTTTTAATGCAGGTGAAATAAGAATAATTTGCCCGTTCCTGACAAGCTGCAAAGTTCACTAGCATTTTAAAGGGAAATGCATGCAATTGAAGAATATTTTGCAAGTTAAAGTAAATTGTAAAAGCAAAATTACAAAACCCCATAATATACTGAGGAGGTGCAGGATCTTTTCTAAAAGACAGCATAAAGATAAAAATATTACAAATCTGAGAGCTCTTCTTGAAGCTAACATGATATCTGTAGCCTTCTGAGCAGTTGTGCAGGCTTTTAACCAGAACCTTGTGTTTGCAGGATTGTATTTCACTAATTTTATCCAGATATATACATTTTTACTTCAGTGGTGGCAAGCCATAAAATGAACATCCAGAGCTGTAAGGAAGGAAGTGGGATGCCAGTTCTCTTTAGACGGGTTTTGTGTTCAAGTAGGACAGCAATCTTGGCTCTCCTGAAACCACCAATAACTGTCTCAAATCCTAGAAGTCACTGTTTACAGAAACTGACACAGGTTCCTTGCCTATCTAAAGAGATTAGGAAGCCCCTCAAAGGATAGAATTTCAGTTTTTATCTTGCATGTCCGTTGCTGTTTGTAGCACTTTGCACAAGATCTCTGAGTCTTAGGCTTCATAGAAAGCATGCTTATTTTTTTCCAGATATTTTATTTCAGTTCTGACTGATCACTAGAAAAAATAATCATGTTATTTTATGCTCTTCACAATTTTCTAGCTATTGCCTGAGTCTGAGGCCTGATCAGCCATCCACATGTTCCTTTAAGACTGACTTACATCTTCACTATTTCAGTCTTTGTTGCACAGCAGCTGCCTTGAAGTGTTTGCTCTGTGGTGACAGTGGTTTCCAAGCCAATATAGTGTCATAGGGAACACAGAGCTTGAGGCAGTATAATAGATGGGGCAATGTTGGAAAGGGCAAAAATATTTTCTTTCCAAAGTATATTTAGCACCTTTAGGGAAATCTTATCTTATTTCACATTAGCATATATTTATAGTTGTATTTTTACAAATATTACTTTTAAGGGTTATTTCTTGGTCAGAGATTTTTTGATGAAAGAAAGGGTAATTTCTTGGTCTGAGATTCTTTGATGAAAGATGCTATAGATGTGTGGAATACTTAGATAAAGTGTTGTGCTATTGATTTGCTCCTATTGGTATGTGGAACTGAGATCAAACCAGCATGTACAGCAAGGGAGTTACACACATGCATAACTTAAATTATGTGAATGTTGACTATCAAATATCAAAGACTGCTTACATGCCTTATATGCAGTGTGTGTAGAGCCACCTATAAATCAGATCCCTAAGGGGAATTCTGTGTGCTCTTTCCTTCATAGGCAATTCTGCAAAATATATTTTTTTACTAGTTGAAGTGTAAATAGAGAATATTAATGCTAGAAATGTAAAGGAAATGTGGCCTTTGAATACAAAGGAGTGTCTTCATGCTTG